AGAGGCAAAGGGTAGGCAACCGTTGACTGGAGCTCGGCACCGAACGAGACGAGCAGCAGTGGAAGCCCCGAAAATCGTAGGTATATCTGCGGCAAGGGTGTGGAGGATTGACCTAGCCAAAAGCAAAGAGTATTCTTGTTGTCTCTTCGCGTAAGGGCGAGACAAGATAACTTGATGGCCTGATTTTGCTGGTATGGCAAATGTTCACAACAAAGAAAAGTGACCAAGCCCCTGGCGACACCCAATCCGGCAGGATATCACAGGCCGTTTACGTTATCTCATCCATGGACTTGACGATGCTGACTTTTTGGGAAGGAAATTGAGTCCTGAGAAACCCATCGGGTTCTATTCCGTAGTACAAATGGGAGTGAAACGGATTCTCAACCGGCGAAGTGCAGCGTCTTGTGGTCTCAACGTCAAGAAACACACTCCGACAGAAAGTGGGGTTTAGCTAAGGATATGGGAAGGGGATTACTCACATGACCGGTTTTAGGGGATGGAAGTTCCGGGGCCACCACCAGTAATTCCTAGTGCCGGACCTGGTTGACGATGGGAAGGTTTCCGCGAGAAGCTCCCTTGCAACGACTTAGTCACAAACTCTCTACCCCCATCAGTGCCTTTGGCTCCCCCACAGTCGAGATCTAGATCTGTGGGGAAATTCTCTCACAGTTTGTCTTATCTGCGGGCTGGGTAGCCGAAATGTATGGTAAGAGAGCTCGCGGTCAATTACCCAGTTGTGATGAGGCGATATGAGATGACAAGCCCAGGGGTCCTGTCCGTCCACCTGGCATCGGTCTAGTGTCCCAACCATGTGATTTAGGCCCATATGTTAATTTGCCTCTATGGTAGGTAAGTCGTATCTAAGATTGAGCGGTGTCGGCTGCGATGTGGCTTGCTTAACCTGTGGGGTTGAACATGGGAATTCAAAGATATAGCTTCATCTCTGCCCTCTTCCACCATCTCGACGACGAGCTTTCACTTCAATCATCCCTCAGCGTTTTATTTAGACGAGGTTCTCGTTGTAGCATCGCCCCTAACCTCTGCATTTCCATTGCATAATTTCTCTCTAATTCTTTAGCATTCAGTCCATTATCGCATCAAACAATGGCCAACCGCGGTGTCACCTGGGACCCTCTGGTCCACACCATCCAAGATCTGAAGGAGCTGGGCAGCAAGAAGCTTCCCAAGATGTATCGGGACTACTTCAATGAGGGAGCGATGGACCTCGTCAGGTGTGTAATTGATAGAAGTAGGAGTTCAAAGCGACACTGACCAACATTTTCCTCTGGCAGTTTGAAGGACAATGAGGAGGCATACAATCGCTACAAGATCATTCCTAGAATCTTGGTCAATGTTGACAACATTGACATGAGCTCAGAGATTCTAGGCGTCAAGGTACGGCACATGCTCCATCTAGCGCGTTGATCTGTATTCTGACAAAATATCCCAGACCTCATTTCCTCTTGGATTTAGCCCTGCTGCGATGCACAATTTGGCCCATCCCGACGGCGAAATTGCAACATCCCGCGCTGCCGCAAAGATGGGAATCGCCATGGGTCTTTCTTCCTACGCCACATCGTCTATGGAAGATGTTGCGGCAGAAGGCCTGGGTAACCCCTATGCTATGCAGCTTTGCGTTCTGCGTGATCGAGAAACCACCCTGCAGATCTTAAGAAGAGCAGAGGGTGAGTATTTATTGTTGTCTGGCAGGCAAGACGGAGTCCACTAATAACGTGGCATAGCATCTGGATACAAGGCCATCTTCCTGTCTGTTGACACGCCTCTTCTGGGTCGCCGCCTCAACGAGTACAGGAACAACTTCGTGCTCCCAGAAGATATGGCTTGGCCAAACCTCCTCTCCAATGGCAAGGACGAGCTCAGCGGACGATATGGTCAAGCTGAGGACACCGGCGTTTCGCGCTATGACTTTGGTGAGTGGAGAGCTCATTTGCTCCTGGGAGAGTTCATGGGTTACTAACGATGATAGACCCTTCCCTGGATTGGGATACCGCTATCCCATGGCTTCGCAAGCACACCAAACTCCAGCTATGGTTGAAAGGAGGTATGTCATACATCTCCCCTGATACTCGAAAGGTCTGGCCTCTACAAATACTGACGCTACATTCCTTAGTCTACACACCCGAGGATGTCAACACGGCTATCCACTGGGGTTTAGATGGTGTCATCATCTCTAACCACGGCGGTCGCCAGCTGGATGGCGTCCCTGCCACCCTCGACTCTCTCCGAATCTGCGCTCCCGCCGCCGCCGGGAAGATTCCCATCGCCGTCGATGGTGGCATCCGCCGCGGCACCGACATCTTCAAGGCGATTGCCCTGGGCGCTTCTCACTGCTTCGTCGGTCGTATTCCCATCTGGGGATTAGCTGTAAGTCTATACACTCCTTCTTATAGCTCAGACTGATCGCTAACTAATTTGTCGGCAGTATAACGGCCAAGAAGGTGTTGAGCTTGCCATCAAGATTCTCATGTTCGAGTTTAAGCTTGCTATGGCTCTTGCTGGGTAAGTTCAGTAGAAACTTTCATCAATGACTCCTTCAAACAACAGTACTAATACATAAAGCAGCTGCCGAACGATCAAGGACATCAACTCCAGCCACGTCGCATTCCTCAACAACAGCGGCATTCTGTCAAAACTGTAAACTGTAAATTAAACCATGTCTTACACATCCATAGATTTCAAATTGTAAAGCGAAATTGATCTTAATTAATTAAGCCTGTGCCAACTATGTGCAATTGATGAGAAAAAATTTAGCTACATCGTGAATGTTATGGTGCTTTTTGATTTCCACAATTCATGTTTCTTGGGTACCTTCTCCTCCCTATTTGTGAACTTGAGGAGTAAGATAGGGGCATATCTTCTAAATTTGAGGTCGTAAAGAGTCAGCTCGCGACCGCAATGGAGTCAATCAACTCAGTTGACATGATACACCTTGAACCCCTCCGTGCCCATTGCCGTGTGAGATCCATCGGGAACGAGACCCGACATCCTCAGATATGGTGACTTAGTGCCTCGGATTGCCTTGCCTTTTTCTCATGACGAGACAAAAATAGCTCACTAGCAGCGAGCCATTCTTCTGAATGCCACGCCAACCAGCCATAGGTAGATGGTAGTATACACAGTTACGGCACATGCAAGATACGATATCGGCCGAGACCACTACTCTTTGACTCCTGCCAAGGGCCATCAGACCATTGAAATATGCATACCTGATCCTTGATGGGTGGGAGAGGCAATCTAAGATTGATCTCGGGACGGACGACTCGATCAACCGCTCGCAGCCGGTGTCCACTCAGCCAGACCAGCTCAAACCTCCACATCCGAAACGGCATGTCTCCGCGAGCCACTTGCCTGTTCCAATATCCTCCATCTGCAGCCTGTGCGGATCGTCGCTATCGCCATCCAAAGGTAGATGCCATGCGGATTCACTATCCCATCGTGTGTGCTTCCGTCGCCGAGCGAACTCCGTTTGGCCCCAATCGCTACGAAACTCATTTGCATCCCCTCTTCCACCCCGCATCGCCTTCTTGTGATGTATGGTGCGTTATCGGTGATGTTGAGATCAAAATCTAAATAAAGAGCAATCAAGTGCCTGTGTTTTTCCAAGTCTCTCTCATTCTCTATTCTATTCCAGTTCATTACTTCTGCATTTCCAGCTTAGTTGCTTTCATACACAAACCATCCACAATGGCTCCTCAAGATCTCACGGGCATCATGGTGGCCCTCTACACCCCCTTTAAGGATGACACCCGGGCCATTGATGTCGAAGCTCTCACTGCCCACGTCGAGTCTCTCATTCAGGCCGGTGTCCACGGTCTCGTCCCCGGCGGCAGCACCGGAGAGTTCACAGCCCTCTCCTACGACGAGCGCAAGCAGCTCATCGAGGTTGTCCTCGCCGCCGCCAAGGGCCGCGTCCCAGTCGTTGCCGGCATTGGCGACCTCTCCACAGCCAAGGTCCTCGACCTGGCCAAGCACGCCGCCGATGCTGGCGCTGCCGCTACCATGATCGTCCCTCCATTCTACGACAGCCCCAACCTGGAGGAGCTCCGCGAGTTCTTCAAGGAGGTCTACGAGGTCTCCAAGATCCCTATCATGTACTACAACATCCCCAGCGCCTCCGGTGTCAAGCTCTCCCCTACCGAGCTCGCTGGCCTCTCCGACGTCGGCGTCAAGTTCCTCAAGGACACCTCCGGCGACGCCCCCTCCCTCACCCAGCTCCTCTTCGAGGACGCCGTCTCCAGCAAGATCGTCGCCTTCAACGGCTGGGACACCCTCACCTTCTACGGCCTCGCTGCCGGCGCCAAGGGCTCCGTGTGGGGGACCACCAACATCCTCCCCGAGCTGTCCGTCGAGCTGTGGAACGCAGTCGCCGTCAACGGCGACCTCAAGAAGGGCCGCGAGATCTGGGCCAAGATCTACCCCCTGTGCAAGGTCCTCGAGTCCTACAACTACTGCGCTGGAGTCAAGACCGCCATGGAGCTCAAGGGTGTCAAGACTGGTGGCATCCGAAAGCCCTTCAAGCTGCTCATAGGCGATGCCAAGGCGGAGCTCGCTGCTGCGCTCAAGATTGCTGGTGTCAAGGTAGTCGAGTAAAGCAATCAAATAAATTAAAAGTCAAAAGAAATGAATTTAGCACGAGTAAATAAATAATTCGGTATGATTAAGATAAATTCTCAACTTGCAGTATTAAATGTGTGGTGAGACAAAATGATACGCGCTGATCAACACAATGAATTGCAGTACATGAGGCATGTGAACCTTCAAGTCCCCAGTCATTCGGGCGGTGATAGCACACATCTAAAATCTATATTCGTATTGGCTGTAAAAGGCTTGCAATGCCGACAATATTGCCATTAAGGGCAATCTCAGTTCGTTTAGGCGGACTCATAGGACATATCACATTACTTTTATTGGTCAGAACGGACTGCTATCTGTACAGATGTGCAGCTTCGTCAGCCCTCTGACGTGGTTGGGTTCCAAATATGCAGAAACCAAATCTTGAAAACACCGGTGCCCAACTGAGCTTGAAGCTCCTTTCCCAAGATCCCCCACCCCCCGACCGCCCCGAATACTATCAGGATTCGCGTCTAGCGAGACATGAAATGAGTGGGCTTGAGATCGCAGGCCTCATCGGCGCTATCCCAGGTGTCGTTGCGCTTGTTACTAAATCAATCGCACTCCTTCACAAATGTGGCAGCAGCAAGAAATTCTCCAGTGTGGGCAAGGGTGCTCATCTGCAGCTGCTGGCCATCAAAGACCTATTGATCACTCTTGACGCCCGGTGCAAGGACCCAAAGAAGGTCCACTGCCTTCTTGGTGATGTCCGAAACATCAAACAAGTTGTCAAGGAACTGGGCGGAGAGCTTGAAAATCTAACAAACCTTCTCAACTCAGTCGGTTTGGCATGCACCAAGGGTGAGGGCCGATTTGTTAGACGAGCTCAGTTGCTCTTTTCCGGTTACGAAAGTCAATTCAAGGAGCAGTTCCAGCGAATTGAAGCTATCAAATCACTTCTCACTCTCATCCTCACCAATAGAATCAATCTTACCATTGAGCAAGGTGAGCTTCACACGATGGATTCATATTACTCCCCTGCTAATATTTCAACTGAACTAGCGATTGAAGGTCCTTTGGAGAGGAGGAGAGAGCATCTCCTCAAGATTAAGACAATCCTGCAACCCTGCAAGCAAGATTTTATCCCATCCAAGCTTCCTGGAACGCTCGATTGGGTCCCTGAACATCCTGATATTGCCACATGGATGGATCCTAAAGTAGAAGACCTTTCTAAAAGATCTATTTGCATCTATGGCGTCAAAGGATGTGGTAAATCGCTCCTCGCGGCCAGTCTTGTCGCCCACTTGAACCTTCGAAAATCACCAGTGGGATTCTTCTCTTTCGGAGCGCAAAGTGAAAGGCGAAGACAAGTCAATCAAATGCTTGCAACACTTTTATGGGGTTTGATTTCCAGACTATCCCACGACAGTTTTGATAAAATTGCCACAGTCGCTTTGGGTCTGCTTAATCCAACATCCAGGGAGCTCTTCAATCTTATTTCCGAATCCATAAGTTTGTTGAGCCAGCCATGTTTCCTGGTGGTTGATGCTCTTGATGAGGGCACGGGCCACTGGAGTATGAACTCAGCAGGGCTAAGGCTAATTTCAGAATTACTGAGCCGTCAAAAATCATTAAGGGTACTCTTACTAGGTCGTGAGAAAGCTGTCAGAATAGCTCTCCAGACCTTCTCTGGACTCGAAATTACCCAAAACCTCATTCACAACGACATCAACAAGCTTATAACAAATCAAATTGGGCGGTTGCCAAACATCAAATCCGATCTTCGGAATCACATACAATCGGTTCTTACAAACAACTCCACTCCAATGTTCCTTTGGGTGGTAATGGTTTTCAAAGAGCTACAGAGGTGTTATAACGCACAAGAGATTGAACTTGCACTCGAACATATCCCTCATGATTTGGAATCACAATATGACCGGCTCTTTTTCCAGCTACTGAAACGACTAAGTGCCGGCTCGAGTGGCACTGCCAGCGCCTTCCGCACGCGAAGACTATTCCAGCTGATTCTGGGGGCTATGGAACCACTTTCGCTCAGCCAACTTCGCCATGCCTACGCTGCATCCTGCTCTTCAAACCCCGATTGGGAGGAAAACACGCTTAGTGAAGAAAGTATTCTGGATATAGTTGGAGACTTCGTATCTATATCCAACGGCCTTGTCTACTTAAGTCATGCCTCAATCGAAGAGTATCTCACTCGAGAACTGCGTTCTTGGCCTAAAAACCTCGATCTAGCTTTTTTACAGAGCACGCCAGACGAGATGCACTCTTTATTAACAATTATTTGCATCAATTATCTCCGAATTGTCGAACAGAATTCTCTCACGCAGCTGTCCACAGGAAGGGACACCGATATCTTTATTCGCTATCCATTCTTTTCATACTCTCTTCTCAGAGTAGCCTTTCACTTTTTCGAATCCAAAGGCTATATGCCGACCGAGAAAATGATCAACTTCGTTCAATCTACAACGTTTGGCTTCTACTTAGATTACTTGTACCACATCGAACCTGAGTTTCTAAGAAAAAGATGCTTCATCAAGGGAGTTCTTTTGGAGACATTTCGGCTTGCAATGTGGTATGATAATGTTCCTGCCTCTCAAGATGGGTTTATGCGGGTTTTACAAAATGAACTCAATCATCGCGAGGCCACCTTCGGTTTAGGAAACCATAGATTAGCCCCTTTGGAGAATGTCTTGGAACTGTGGGAACTACAAGGACTCGGCGATTTATATTCTGAGGTGTCCCGCAGGAATCATGCAGTCGACCAGATATCACCAGTTACTGACCACAAGCCGCCTCCGACTGATTCGATTTTCAAAGTGATATTGGATTTACTTGCCTGGCTCCCTCTTCTCATTCTTATAGCGGCGTCCTACATTTATAGCTACCCTGGCAACTTCCGCCGATTATGCCACATCGCTTTCGGCCGATGCAAGAAAGCGGGCAATACGGGTAAGGCTTTCTACAAGATAACCGTTGATAACATCATTAACCTCTTAAAGATCAAGAAAATAAAGCCAATGAGCAATTTCAGAAAGACATATTCTTATTTTGTTTATCCATGTCCGCCGTATACGCACACTGGAGATATCAGTTTATCAACAAGCTACGAAGAACACCAGTGGGGTTACTGGTCAAGCAGACCCTGTCACTCGAGGGTTTCTGATCCCTTGGGATTTTTTTCTTTTTTTTTTTTGAATAATTTTCACCGTATACAAGGGGGATATCCCAAGATCAGGCTATATGTGGCTAGATCTACACGACTTATTTTTTACTCATTTCCGGTCTGTACCCAACCTTCAACTCTTTTTCTTTTTTTTTTTTAATTTTGTTCTTTACAGAAACCAAGGCAAGGCAACAGCATCTTCAAAAGCTCCGAGAAGGCCTTGCTAAGTGTATAACTTGGCCATAGGCCCCAAGGAGGGACGCTCCTCATCGACAATCAATGTCCCTTGGGAATAAACTCTATAAAAGCAACCAAAAAGAAAGTTTCCCATCAAAAAGACTCTTTTGTTCTATTTCTAGAGATCAAATCAATAGACGGACTTCTCGATTAACAGGGCCAGAGAACATCCTTCAATAGAAGTTCATTGATTAGTTAGTTGAATCTCACTAGTCACCTACTACAATAGATCTTCTAATAAGTTATTTCACTAGCTACATTTTCCAACTAATGATATTACTCATTTGCTTTAATCGATGATTTGCTTTACCTTGCGAGATACTGGATGATGCCTATTAGCTAATATCCAAGAATCGAGTCACGAAGCTCTAAAGCTATCGATGCACTCCGCCCTATCTTAAGCTGATGGTAAAGGAGAGTCGATGCTTAGATTTCGTAGTTAACAATGGGTTGTTTCTGTGCAGGATATTATTGTAGATTAATAGTTGGTGAGCAATTCAGTTCTAACAAATATAATCATACAATTGGCATGCATCATAGAATACTGAATCGGCTATAATGAGCGGAGGTCGTTCCCTTGGTTGCTCTGGCCATACATATCACCTACGACGTTGAGTACGTTGGCGTTCTAAAAGTGCTTATATGTCGTGACATAGTGATGGAGTTTCCCGTTATACAGTCAAGGTGACTACCAAATTTCAAAGCTCGTTAATGTTTTATAATTGGAAATATGGATCGCTGTTACCCTGCCTGTACCATCAACCCCGGCCAACTAAATGTCAAATCCCCAGACTCCTCTCGCCGTTCCCAAACCGTCTTGGCCACCACGCTCGGCTTGTCCGCCTCAATAAAGATACCACGATCATCCATCATCTCCAGGCACTCAAAGGCCTGCTTCTGTAACTCAGGCGTGGCAGCCTCACAAGCCGCAATAAACGTCGACCACCCGATACTGATGGCATAGTCTTGGTCGTGTGTAAACAAGCTGATGTAGGGCTGGATGAAATCCAGCGTCTTCTTGACGAGGTCCTGCACGATCATGACGCTCATGTTGTAGACCCTGCGGTAAAAATAAATAATAATGGCCTTGTGCATGGCCAGGATGAGTGCTTCAACCATCGGTTTATCGAGCGGCGGTGTGTCGTCAGTGACAAGAGCCTGTGGCCGCGCAGGGCCAGCGGGAACTTGACAAGACTGCGGTGACCAGGACCAGACCTGGTGTTCCAGTGTCTTGATATGGTTGGATAAGGAAAGGGCTATGGAGGGGTTTGTAATCGCCGCCAGTTCCAACTTAGGCTTTTCGTTGGCAAGGCTAATTGTCTGTGATAGAAGCGTCATAAGGGACTCGGGGATGCCGTACATGTCCGGGTACAAGGTAGCGGGCCAGATTCCCGAGGCCTCGAGATGAATGTCGTGATATCCGAGATCTTCGGGCTTGGCACGCATTAAGTCCAGGTCTCCAAGATCACTTGGGCTGATACGGAACCTCCTTAGCGCAGCGGCAGAGGCGCCAGATATGTTGACCTGGCTGGGATCGGAAGAGTCCATGTTGTCGTTGCCTATTTGCAAAGGAAAGATATTCGTGCTTTCCATGATGACTCTAAGGTGAGTGTACATGTGATGCAGCACCCGGAGACCAAAGGTTTTGGTTGAGGGGAAGCCGCGGAGGCGTATGAGGCGCTCTGCGTCAAGTAGCAGTTTCTTGACTGCTCTAGCTCCATCAAAATACACCTGTGGGTTGGATTATTAGCAAGTAAGATACTCGGGCCATCGTTGGCGGAAATTTGAGACTTACAGAAACCACTCCCACTCCCAGGATGGCCATGAGCATCTCTGTGTACTTAGCTTGTCCCTCGCCTGCGACCTCAGTCCTAAGCGCCGCCTTGAGATGTTCTTGCGCATCTCTTTGGTGGCTAATAGCAACTTGCAGCCACTGAGAACCAGCTTCCGAGTGCTTGCCGAGAGATCGATGCAGGTGGAATGCGCTCTTGGCAAGAAGAGTACACAGAATACTCAAGCGTGTATTTGAGGTTGTGTTCCATAATGACATTTCGGCAAACGTCTCCAGGGCGCACGGTAGCAGCATTAGCTTCCAAGGCGACATCCTCGAGTTTGTATTTGAGGGATCCTCCAACACCTTGGTCTTGAGGTAGCGTAAGAGGACAGCAGTATGTGATGGCAAGTTGGGCATGCCATCAGATAAGCTGCTATTTAGCGTTGTTGGTATGGTGTCCAGCAGGCCAGAGGGAAGGTTGGTGGAAGTCGTGACGGGAAGGATTTCAGTGTCGTTTCCGGATGAGGGTTCTACTGGAGGCGTCTTGCGTCCCCCCTGGGGTATTATTGACGGTGGATGTGATGATAATACCCCTTGGCCTAAGAAGGGGTCGCGAGGGGACCTGGGGGGCGTTGCAGCCAGACTCATGTTGAAGCCACTGTCAAATGGGAACGACTGGAATTGGTCAACACCAAACTGGATGCCAAGTTGCATCCAATTGTCCAGTTCGTTAAGATCCGCAGCAAATGATGATGATCCGAACTCAGCACTGGCGTCCTGCATAAGAGCAGGGTCTATGACAGATTGGATGGGATCGGTTGCCCAGCGCTCTCCGTTGATCTCCTCGATATCATCATCGAGGGGGTACCCTGGCACCTCGGGAACAGAACCCGAGTCTGAGCTACCAAGAGGTGAAGAGGATGTTCGCAGAGGTGGGGAGAAGTTGCTATCGGAGACCTGGTCTAGTACGAAAGGGTCGTCAAAGACTCTAAAGACGCCGAAGGGTCCTACCGAGTGAAACTTCCCATCGGTAGCCGTCTCATCATCCAAATCGACGACGACATTACCAGCCAGCTGGTTGCCAAGACTGTCGACAAGCTCCAAGCTCATGACCTCGCGGGCAGCCTCGGTGAAGAGTGGGTACCTGAAGGAGCTCCCTCTGTGACTCTGCTTCTGCTCTGCATCGCATCCATGGTCCGTCACCCACAGGAGACGTGGGGCATAGCCCTGGCATGGCAGGTCAAGCCGCCGACACGAGGAGCAGACTGGACGCGCCTCATCGCACTTCAGATGACGGGTCCTGCAGGTGCCACATCCGGTAAAGGTTCTCGAACGGGTCTCATCCTTGCCTGAACGTCCCTTGTTGCCAGTCGGCCGGCCCTTTGCTGTTGTTCCCTTGCGGCCACTGTTCCCGGTCTGCCGCCTGGTTGACACCATAGTTCTCTGAGAGAGCGGCGCTGAAGCAAGGGAGATCCGGTCTCTGCCGTCTCGTCCGGGGTTGGTGGACTCTGCTGGCCGGTCGGTAGCCTTGCTGTTGCGGGTGAACGGTGGGTTTGCGGAGTGAAATCAGACAATGCGCCGCTTCTGCCTTCTAAAACTGCTTCATACTGGTTCAGCAAAGGCAAACTGTGTGAGGTTTCCTCGCGACAAGAGAAGGGAAGTGCTGATCAGAGGGATGAAGTAAGTCAAGCCGGTTATCCCAGGCTTCTCCGCGTCTTCCTGGAACGAAGTCCATAGGATGTGTCAATTGGCTATCAATTACTCGCCAAAGCGATATCGCCCCCCTTTCCCCAAACTTTGATAGCATTAGCCCATTTGGGGCAACGCGTGGGCTTATCATCAGGGCTGTGATTGACTGATGGCGGGACTTGTTGGTGGATCCTGACTCGCTCAACACGATGTGGAAGGTTTCCGCGAGCTTGACGAAAGCGTCGGTTTCTTACCCCGGATTAGTGCCGGACGTTGAGCCCGTGTCCAGCCTCCCAGCTTGCCATCTGGATGGATGAAACTCTGGGGAAAAGAGGCCAGGTGTGAACTATGAACTCAGCATGCCTGAGTGTATTTGGTAGAGCGTAACACTCATTATTGAGCAACAAATCACGATGTTTCTAGGATTTGATCCCGTTAGCTCGGTCCAAGCCCAAACTCTAGCTAACTACATGTACAAAGTTAATGTAAGTACGATATTTTCATCGAGATGGGGAGTTTATCCTCGCCTGTGGCCTACCTTACATAGAAGAAGAACTGTGAAATATCTGTTGATGTTCCCCATTGTAAGTACTCTGCTTTGTAAGCATCCAAGAAACAAGAGAATCTTTCTAACGTGCCAACTATCACAATGATTCGAAGTCAGGCCTTGGACGGTCGTAGCTCCGGAATTTCAGTGAATTATGAGAAGACCTATTGTAGCTACCCAGTGAGTTAATGTATGTCTTGATTTCTATAAAAAAAAAATTCCATCAATTCTACGAGTGATGTCTTCGAGCCTTGTTGGCGCTGATGGTACCCAAGACTTGGATGCGCAAGCTCAACCATTTCCTCCCCGCTAGAGACGGTCTTCAATCGACTCGACTTAGCGACAGCGTATTTCGAACACACATGGAATAAAATACTGAGAAAATAAAATTCATTATATATTGCATATAGGTAAAAGATAAAGGAGCCAATGGCTATGGCCATCAATCATAGAGTCACAACCTATGTCCGTAGCAGGGAGATGTGTGATCTCATGTTGGTGTGCTTGATGATGCCATTTCCAGCGCTGAGACAGTGCTACAGGGCATTTTCTAGTGGTTGAAGGGCAATGACGACAGCGGAGCGACTCCACCAAGTTCCTGAGCTCGTCATAAATTCCTCCAGCATCATCCCCTCCCTCTTTGTCCTGTCAACATCCTGCTCAGAACAATATTTTACTGTTTTTTTCTATTCAATTCAGTGCAAAATCCTCCTTCATCATGCCCACGATCTTCCTGTAAGCACTCGATCAGCTATCAATCCCAGAAACACATTGCTAACCGCATCCTCTCCTCAGCACCGGTGCCACTGGCTACATTGGTGGCCAAGCCCTCGCGACACTGTTCAAATCTCACCCAGAATATGCCATTCGAGCATTGGTCCGCGACTCTACGAAGGCGCAGGCGCTTTCTTCAGCTTACAGCAATGTCCAAGTCGTCGTTGCTGACCTCGACAACACCGACGTGGTAGCGAAGGAGGCCGCTGATGCTGATGTCGTCCTCCGTAAGCGCCCAGTCCAGATTGTGCCTTCTCTCTCTTTTGAATCACTTGCTAACGTTTGGAGTCTCTAGACCTGGCCTCCAACAGCCATATCAAGAGCGTCGAGGCCATTCACGGCGCCCTCAAGGCCAAAACAGCCAGCGGAAAGTCTGCTCACTGGGTGCAGGTGTCTGGCGCCAGCGCTTTGGCAGCTGCCGAGATCGCAGACACGAGCCGTGTCCCAGGCTCACCCAGCGACACAGTTTTCGACGATCTCGATGGCGCGGCCGATATCCGCTCCCTCATTCAGAAGTTCCCCAGTCGCGTCGTAGACAACTACCTATTTAAAGCGGCTACCGAGACCCCCCAGATCAAGACAGCGATCGTCTTCCCGCCCATCATCTACGGCCCTGGCGAGGGGCTGCTAAAGCAGCGCAGCATCCAGATTCCCGAGCTCGCCAAATCGACGTTGAAGCGGGGTCGCGGCCTGCAGGTTGGCAAGGGCCTGAGTAGGTGGACTGACGTGCACATTCACGATCTGGGAGACCTGTTCAAGCTTCTTGTGGAAAATGCTCTCCAGGGCGACAGCGGCGAGCTATGGAATCTAAATGGCCTCTACTTCCCCGGCGTGGGTGAACGAGTACGTGCTTTTATATTCCTTCCCACATTCAATCAGGTATGATACATTGGCAAAATGACGTGTGCTAACTGTTCAACACAGTCCTTCGGCGAGATTTCCAAGCTGGTAGCTGTTACCGCCAAGGAGAAGGGATTCATTACAACCGACGAGATTGACGAGGTGCTTGGAAATGACGCCGACACTCTACTCCCCAAGGGCACCGTCTTCTTCGGTACCAACGCCCGAAGCAAGGCGACGAGGGAAAAGAAGCTTCTTGGGTGGACGCCGAAGCATGCAGATGGACTCAGTGCAGAAATCCCGAGGGTGATTGAGTCTGAAGCCAAGAGCCTGGGCCTCTCTAATCTGTAAACATCCAAAATAGCGTTGATAGAATACTGAGACATGAATTGACGTCAGGCTGCGGCCTTGTTGAATAAGCTGTCCCTAATGACAAGAATTGACTCGATTTGTTCCATCCTGAATAATCGCTCTAAACTTCTCCAAGTCGTAGTCGTATCCGACGAGCTCACAACAGGCAGGCCTTGCCGAGCAAAACGGGTCCAGGGTCCATGAATCAGGCCCGCTGCTAATGGGCCCGATACGATTAGGAATGACAGAAGCTCGTTATCAATTGCCAGTGACTAAAATCGCGTCTCCAATCGAGGGATATTCTTTCCTCAACTGGTACATTTCAGTGGAGAAATTGCCATGTGACAATGAGGGGCAAGAGTCAAGACGAGGGGCAAGTCGAGCTTCAGCCAGCAGAAGCCGATCCAGATTGATGAGTACATATCCAAATTATAATCACCCCGCATAGCAAGCTGTAGAACCGGCTGGCAAACGCGAGTACATCGAACAGTAGCCGGTATCGCTCACTCGGGATCGGACCGTAGCTCATCAGTCCTGTCTCACCCATCCGAGACAGACACTGCATAAGCCCTCTCGTGCTGCGCCTTTTCCTTTCTCTCATCATTCTCTTCTTGTTTTCTTCTTCTCAGCATCAAAATACCATCGCCAGCGGATAAAAAAATGGCAGACGACCTCTTTGTCAAGCTCACAGCCCCCAACGGCCAGTCTTGGTCACAGCCCAGGGGTCTGTTCATCAACAACGAATTTGTGCCCTCGACCGGAGGCACTCTCTCTACCGTCGACCCTGCGTAAGCTTCCCCTCATTCCGCATTCTTTCCGGATCTCATGCTCACGATATACGCAGCACCGAGAAGGAAATCACCACAGTCCACGCTGCCAGTGCCGATGATGTTGACAAAGCCGTCAAGGCCGCACACGATGCATTCCACAACAAGGCCTGGAAAAACCTGGCCGCCACCGACCGCGGCATTCTCATGGCCAAGCTCGCAGATCTGATCGAGTCCAAGAAAGAGCTCTTCGCCACCATCGACGCATGGGACAACGGAAAGTCGTACAACGAGGCCCTCAACACCGATCTCGTCGAGGCCGTCGGCGTCATCCGCTACTACAGCGGCTGGAGCGACAAGGTCTTTGGCCAGACCATCTCCGTCCCCAACAAATTCGCCTACACAATCCGCCAGCCCATCGGTGTCGTCGGCCAGATCATCCCCTGGAACTACCCACTGTCGATGGCTACATGGAAGCTCGGCCCCGCGCTCGCATGCGGTAACACAGTCGTCCTCAAGTCAGCCGAGCAGACCCCTCTCAGTATCCTGGTTCTCGGCAGCCTGATCGTCGAAGCCGGTTTCCCTCCCGGAGTCGTCAACTTCATCAACGGCCTGGGCAAGGACGCGGGATCAGCGCTGGTGAACCACCCTCTCGTCGACAAGATCGCCTTCACCGGCTCCACCGCCACAGCCACCCACATCATGGGCGCAGCAGCCAAGACCCTCAAGAACATCACCCTCGAGACCGGCGGCAAGTCCCCCCTCCTCGTCTTCAACGACACCGACTTCGAGCAGGCCATCAAGTGGTCGCACCTGGGCATCATGTCCAACCAGGGCCAGATCTGCACCGCCACCTCCCGCATCCTCGTCCAGTCGGGCATCTACGACAAGTTCGTCGCCGCCTTCGTCGACGAGGTCAAGAAGACCAGCAAGGTCGGCCACCAGTGGGACGAGGCGACCTACCAGGGACCGCAGGTCTCCAAGCAGCAGTACGACCGGGTCCTGTCCTACCTGGATATTGGCCGGTCGGAGGGCAAGGTTGCCGTCGGAGGGAACAAGGCCACCGTTGGCGACGGCAAGGGGTACTACGTTGAGCCTACCGTCTTTACCGATGTCAAGGATGATGCCAGGATCTGGCGTGAGGAGATTTTCGGTCCTGTTGTTGTGATCCGGCGCTTCGAGGAGGAGGAGGAGGCTATCAAGATCGCCAACGACACCGTCTATGGTCTGGGCGCAGCAGTGTTCACCAAGGACTTGGAGAGAGCCCATCGTGTCGCCTCGGAGATTCAGTCTGGTATGGTCTGGGTCAACAGCAGCCAGGACTGCGATCCCCGTGTACCGTTCGGTGGTGTGAAGCAGAGTGGTATTGGCAGGGAGCTTGGAGAGGCCGGACTAGAGGCATACAGCCAAATCAAGGCTGTTCACGTGAACATGGGTAATAAACTATAAGCTATTTTGTTAAATGAATGAACACGAGTGAATAAATAAAATCAAGAATCTCGTCCATTTAGTCTTTCGTTATTTGTGCTAACAATGAGATATGCCAGAAAGGCCTCGTAATTTCTTGTTCCGAGCCATGAAAACTGCCAGACATACCGTTGTCTTCTGAAATCAATTAAGATCAATCATGTTAAGTAACGATAAAGGTATTAAATAAAGCGTATAGGTGCTTTTTAAATGGAAGAATCTCACATCTAGTAACCTTCCGGTCAGTCTGAAGCCGAACTCTATATGTCCCTTCCCTATCTATAAGTATCACAAATATATTCAACTATTACTATTCGTATATCTGATTTATATTTGGCCTCCGAGGAAAACCCTTCTACCTTATCCGTATAAACTCATTAGTAGATCTTAGTCTCCTCACCATTATGCTTAGATATTCAGAACATTAATCCCATTTGACTTCACTTAATTCTCTTTCTTACTCACGGATTTTCTTTGATCTTTGAGGCTTTCTTACTATCTCCGACCATTGATCTTATTGGGCTTTTTGTATCTTTAAAGGTTTGGTGTTGCGAATTATTGCCTTGCAACCGTGTGAGTTGCTTGCGATAAAGAGCCAGCAAAGACTTTCTCGCCATTTATTCACTGCTCAATCTCTCCAAAACCACCCTCTATGTAGTTTGTTTAAGTTGATCTACCCATCAAAGCATCGTCATGTTGCGTGCACAAAAATGGCGGTGGAAAACACATTGTGGTCTGAGGGCCCAGTAAAGTCGTCTGTTGGTTCTAAGACGAAGAAATGTTGGCTACCCAAACCAAAGCAGCTTTTAGTGCTTATTCGGGCTGAAATAACAAATGACTCATCTGTAGAATACCCCGCATCTGTGCGGTATTAAATAGAACAATTGGAAGAAGTCTACAGATTCGCGTTCTAGCCTCAGAAGTCAAACATCTCAGCTCAGACTTCAACCTTTTCACTACGGCATACCTTCACACCCGCAAACAAAACAATCAAGATGGTGTATCTTGTCAGTATTCCAAGCCTATCTGCAAGTAAGGGCTTAATCAACGCAAAAACCGGAAGGACTCACTTTATCTCAACGATACTCGAAAAGGAGCCCAGCACCATCTATAACCCGCATTTTTCCTCTTCAAGCAATGGTGAAAGTGAGCCATATATGGGATAATTCTATCTTCGTTATGTCATTCACATGCTGATTTTATACCCTCATAGCTGTGAACGACCAGGCTTGGCACCCTATCGAGGAGAAGGGGCAAGATGAGGATGATTCTGATCGGTAAGTTTCATTTCCTTCTTGTAATGCCCAGCCATAATTCAAATGAAAAGATTTCAGGATATGATAATTCTTAACTATTAGTATGCGAATCAGATTATTCCACATTGTTACACCAAACCCTAGGGAGTACTCCCCAGTCACGCATCATGAAACCGAAGAGTCCTATTACTTTCTCAAGCTTGGGCGCGGACGCGATTACGATGATTATCAAGAAGCCGGGAGTCACAATCCTGTAATTTCCATTGTGGTTGGAGAAATCCCACAGGCAGATGATGATGAGGAGCAGGAGGAGGAGGAAGGAAGACCCGGTAAGTTCGCTATTCATATCTCTTTCATACATACAATGACCTAATTCTAAATTATTTCTAGATCCGAATGAATGGTACAAAGTTATACCAAAATCCGAAGATGAACTTGAGGAGGAGTATGAGGAATCCGAGACTCCAGAGGCCTGGACTCACGATGACCTGCGCTTGAACCTGTAAGGCTTGAAATAAAAGCCATCTCCCATGTTGGAAATGGATTTGACACTAATTTGATTTACAGCATTGCACAGCAGAGAGCTCTTGTAAATGAGGAAAACGAGGAGTATGAGCAGCTGATGCAACAACTGCTAGAAATGTGTAATATCCGGCAGGAGACCGACATTGATCGTCAGTAGATATACCTTGCTCTTGGAGGTTATGTTCCACGAGACAACCGTTCCTATCCAGCGCTCTCAGTTGCTATGATAGATCAAAACTATACCTAGAATCTTTAAATGTATAGTTGAAGTTTGCTCTCCTGATACACGCACGTACAAATCATATGTGAAGCTATGTAAGATTGTAGATCTCCATGGAAAAAGAAAGAAAGAAAATTATATGTGATATAATGCAAACTATTCCATTGTTGAAGCTAGGGCTAACATAATTTAGGAAGGTCCGTTGAGCGAATGGATGGATCAACATGATCCAAAACTGTTCTAGCGTGGTGGATTCCGTTTGCAGAGAGCATAGGTCAAGTTACGTATCCATCGCCGCCAGCCAGTGTGTTGTGGGTAGTAGACTCTTGTAGATAGTAATCGGTTGCATCAGAGCGTGAGCTGCCATATATGTTTTGTGTATATTATATATTGAATTGCCATGGAATTCTGAAGTTATCGATACTACCTATGAGAATTTCAGGACCAAAGATGAGCATGTGTCTATAAATACTGTTCATCTTTGGTACGTAAACACAAGACTGAACTTCAAAATGCCATCCCCTTCCCTTTGAGAGGTTCCTTATTGGTATCCCAGGTTAGAGCTTACATAGTTGGTAAGCATGATTATGTATCCCGCGCGGTTAGCTCCACAGGCTTGATGCAGGGTCGCGTTCGGACTTCGCCTCAAGCGCATGTCCGAGGATGTAACTATTTCGCGTATTCATGCATGGTCTATTGGTACCACTTCACCTGGATTATTATGGAAGGATACAACATATTGTATGTACTTTAAGGTGAGAATGAACCGCGCGGGTCTCGTCCACTGCCATCAAGGTTACAATGCCAAGCTACAACTAAGAGTTGGTCATGAATTCGAGAGCTGCACAAACTAGACTCTTGCGTAGGATTGCCTTGAAAATGCGATGGGACATTGCTGATGAGGGAAATTATGTTTTTTCTTCAATTGGTAATCAGGCAAGAATGAGCGGTAGAGGGCATCATCTGACTCTCATGGCCGAATTGAATAAGCAAAGGTGTATTTTGAGTAAGACTGTGGATTGGCATAGGGAACGCGCCTAGAACCACGAATTAAAGGGTTATAAAACCGTTGAAAAGTTCACAAAAGCGTGCCAATGTAGCCTGTCTTATAACCATCCCACAGATATAGCGTCTCCCATAATCTCAATCAAATATGTCAAACCAAACCGCCGAACAATCTCAAGGCCAGCCCATTGAGACAGATGTTCTCATTATTGGAGCCGGCCCGGCCGGTGCCAGTCTCGCAAGCTTTCTCGCAAGCTATGGTAAGTCTTTCCCTAAGCTTTCTAATGATCGCTATTCTAACATTACGGATCAGGCGTAAAGGGGATTATGGTGAGCAGAGACAGCACAAGCGCTGAGACGCCACGTGCGCACATCACGAACATGGCTACGTTTGGTGAGTAACTGCCAGCTATGAGACACATTGCAAAATTTCTCATCTTCCTTTTGTTAGAGTGCTTCCGTGATATCGGGCTAGAGGATATCTTGCGAAATATTTCTACCCCTATTGACGAAACTGATCACCTCTTGCGATGGTGTCTATCCATGGCCGGTCGGGAACTGGCTCGCAGGTACACGCTCCAAACAACACCTCAGAGAACAGTAAGTTCAACTAAAAGATTTTGGAAGCACGCTTGTAGCTGATCTTTTTTTCAGGGAGAGTACAAAATTGCCAGCCCTTGCGAGCATATGGACCTGCCGCAAACCAGGCTAGAACCTGAGCTTGTTCGTTTTGCCACTTTAAATGGATTCCAGGTCCGCTGGGACACCGAGTTCCGATCGATGGAACAGGGTGACTCAAGGGTGGCTGTAGACCTTTTCGACAACGTCACAAAGCAAATATTCTCCGTCTCGGCAAAATACGTTTTTGGTGCCGACGGTGCCGGATCGCGAGTTATGAGACACCTTCAAGTGCCAATGGAAGGATTCCCGTCGACTCAATGGGCCGTCAACGTCTTTCTCAAAGCTGATCTTTCTCATTTGATGAAAAGCAGGCCATCAGTGCTGAGCTGGGTGTTGCAGCCCCATCGTGACCACGCTGACTTCAACATGATCTGCGTCGTACGCATGGTCAAACAATGGGATGAATGGGTTTTCTCTTTCCTTCCTGCTCCGGGCGCCAAAGAAGAACTGCTGTCTAAAGAGCAATATCTGGAAGAAATCCAGCAGGTGATTGGCGATGATACACCAGTGGAGATTACCCATATGAGTCGATGGCGTATCAATGAGGCGTACGCAGCTCATTTCTCGGTTGGTAGAGTGTACGTTTTTCAAAAGCCCCCAATCCTTTCCACATGTTATTCTGCGATATTAATTTATCTTTAGGTTCTGTCTTGGGGATGCCGTTCACCGCCACCCCCCTGCAATGGGGTTAGGCTCCAACACGAGCGTCCAGGACTCTTACAACCTTGCTTGGAAAGTAGCATATGTCCTACAAAGTAAGATGACATCTCCTAAGCTGAAGATGTCATGGCGGCGATTTGCTAAATTCCACTGTAGACAAGGCCAACCCACGTCTTCTTGATAGTTATTCGCTCGAAAGGCAACCTGTCGGAAAGCACATGGTAACCCGGTGAGTAGCACTTCCTGGGAGTCTACAACTCTGACTGACTTCATTATTTCTTTCTAGCACCAATGAAGCACTCCGGCGGCATGTACCTATCTTCGAGATCTTAGGACTAGTTTCTCCCTCCGTTTCCGAACGAATCGAAGCTCTTTCGCTACTCAGCGCCAACTCTGAGACAGGCGAGCAGCGCCGTACTGACTTCCAAGCTGCTGCAGATGCCTGCGTGGAGACTGAACTGAACGGACTAGGGATTGAGTTCAACCAGGACTACAGCGATAGTCCGGCAATTTGCGCTGACACCAGCGACAGTGCTCCTGCGAAGCCTGCGCTTGAAGGAAACCCGGATCCCGTACGGTTCCACACCCGCACCACCATCCCAGGTTGGAGGTTTCCACACGTTTGGCTGAATAAGGCCGTTCCTGGGAAGGAAATCTCTACCATTGACTTGGCGGGGAAGGGCAAATTCGCTCTCTTCACAGGTATCGGAGGTGGTGTTTGGAAAGAAGCAGCGGCCAAACTCTCTGCCGAGTTGAATGTGCCCATTCGCGCCATTTCAATTGGCTATGGCCAGGACTATGAGGATTTATACGGTGACTGGGCTCGAATCAGAGGAGTCGAGTCATCAGGAGCGGTGCTTGTTCGGCCCGACAATTTCGTCGCTTGGAGACATGGCAAAGCAGAAGGCGACGAAACGTGGGCTACAGCGAAACTAGGCCTGGTGATGCGAAAGGTTCTTGCCCTTGACAACTAACTTAGAGATGAGAATTTAGTTCGGGGTCAGCATGATCCTTAGCAACTGATAATATCAACCACTCAATCATATTTCTCATACAATCAAGCCGACTATGGCCAACAAGACTATTCTGTAACTCTTCCATCTCATACGCTTGGAACATTAGAGAGTTATATCATAAAGTCAAAAGAAAACACGGCAAAATACAGACGCATCGTCATTTAACCCCCTTCTTTCTTGATGTGTTTTCAGGTAAGAAGCCGACAGATTTTCATCATCTTTATTATTTGAATGGGAAATCCCGAGCTAGAGTTAGTAGCTTTTTGAAAGTTTGAAAGTTTCAAGTTGAAGGATTATTTCGTTATTCGCTAGATGAAAGACTAACTCAGTGGATACCCAAAACTCAAAGCAACAGAATATCATGTTTTCTGGTCATCTCGAAGTATAAAGACGGTGTAGTGATACTTTCCGTTTACTCGACAAACGTATCAGGGTCATCTTTCCAAGTACACCAGACAGCCTGATAGTCCGAGGTACCTCGTGATCTCAGATTAAATTGCCGGCAATGCGGGGCGTAAATTCGAGACATCGTGTTGCGGTATCCAACCCTATCCGCAAGCTCTTCGGCATCTCCTTCATGCAAAAAGCGGGTTGTTTTGAGCACTTCAGGTATGCCTTCGCCCAAGTCATGGTAGAACGCATTATGGCTCTGGATGGCCATGTCCAACCGCACCTTGGTCGCATTGCAGCGCAGTGCTTCAAAGGCATTTAGGTCATCAGCTTCCTGCATCAACCAACCACTAAACAACAAGCCAACGTAAGCGAGCCTTTTGAAGCGATGTCCCTGTTCAACAATGTTGAGCAACTCAGCCACCTGTTCCAGGATCATGACTCCACATTCGGAGATTTTGAGATATTCCAGACCCTCAGGAAGACAATCAATAATTCGTGCCGATCCCTCAATCTCCAGTGGCATTGGGCAATCGTAGGAATCATCGCTACGACTTTCTGGTTGGGATGGAAGCATTCCAGTAAGAGCTTGCATACCCAGCGTAAGCCTCTTCAACTTATGCATCTGACGAAGTCCTGGCCCCATATACAGCCTCTCCGGACAGGCTCTCCAATTCCACTGTTTGTCGAACTCTTCCTCTAAATTGAGATAGAGATGCTGAAGCGTGTTGGCATGAGGCAGGATAGCATCAAGAATATCCCGCGGCATCATAAACGTAACCGAAGCGTCCTCAGAATGAATTTGGAAGTGAGAAATTTCAAGTTTCTTGAGGGCTCTGCAGGCACCTAGCATACTTTGGAGCATCGCTGCCGAAGAATGGCAACTCCGCAGCGTTATCTCCTCAATAGAGGATGACCTAGGTGGAAGAGCTCTAAAGTTTTCAGCAGCCTCTTGGTGTCCATACGCCAAGATGCATTCGTAAGACTTTATCTGAGGGAATCTGAATATTGATGATCCCTCAACAGAGAAGGTTGTGTAGCCGCCCTTCCAATCGATTGTCTCATGGAAAACGTCTTGGACATTCGAGAGTGGAATGACCATCCTGGGAGAAGCAGTCCAGTCAGAGCCAGGAGAGTATATTGATTCCTGGATGTCCCGTAGATTGTGGACCAATTGTAGTAAAC